TGGCTGTGAGGGGCAAATCAGGACAAATGGGGCCTTGGAACAAAGAGGCATACCTGTCTCTTCTCGAGAGCATCACTTTATTGGAAAGCTAGACAGGTTCAGCTAGCATTTGGTCTGGCAATGAAAATACAAAAATATCCTCACTCCTGGGAAGATGGGAGTAGGCTGGACCTTAGGAGCGCTGAGCTCTTCTTTGGGTCTTCTGATAGCTTGGGTCCATGATTCCCTACTTGCCCCCAGGTTTTCAGTCATAGATATGCCATTAATGACATGCATCCACCTGCAACGTGATTGGGTTGATGATGAAGACCTCCCTCCCCAGAAGGATTTATGATAGATGCTTAACCACTGTTGAGCTAGGATGGCCTCGGAGGTGATCAGTTGGGTTGGACTTTTGACAACGAGCACTGTTCATTTGGGGATGGGATTCAGTTGCTCTTTTTAGGTGGCTATAATCAAATGTCCAGGTGTGTTCCTGTTGACATACGCAAAAACAGGGAATCTGGCCTTGCAAGAAGGTTACCCGTTGATCGCTCCAACCTTGATATAATGGAAGATGTATACAAGATGGAGGCACTTATGGGAAGGTTTCTAATGCATTCCTTAGACTGCAGCAAGGAAATCAGTAGAAGCAGGACATGGGAGATGATGGTCCCTCTCTACTTGGCACTGGTTAGGCCTCATCTGGATACTGTGCACACCTGGGCTCCACCAAGACATGGAGAAGTTAGAGGGTCCAGAAGTGGACAACAAAGATCATCAAAAGATGATCACTTGGCTTGAAAGACAAGTGATAGGAGAGGCTAAAGGAGTTAGCATGTTCAGCTTGTGGAAACGGTGCTTAAGAGAGGACATGAGAGCAGTCTTCAAATACTTGAGGGGCTGCCATCAAGAAGGGTGAAAGTACCTTTCCTCTCATTGCAGAGGGAAATGTGGGTGGACCAATACCTGGAAGTTGCAGCAAAGTAGGTTTAGATTAGATATCTGGAAAAACATCTTCACTGTTAGAATGAATGGATGCCTGGGGAAGCTGCGGACTCTAACACTGGAGGTGTTCAGGAAGAGGTTGGATAGCCACTGGTCAGGGATGGTCTAGGTGTAGCGATTCCTATGTTCTACCATGGGTATTTCCCATGCTTCTGGGCCTTGCTGGTGGCCTCCATTCTCCCACCCCTTTTCTGCTATATGTGTCAGGGTGTTTTTAAGTCTTCCTCAGCGGCAATGGGCATTGGCAACAGCCTAGCCTGGGGACTTTGACTGGGCAGTGGCAATGCTCCTGCGAGGACCAAAGCTGGAGGTTGCTGGCTAAAAGGTGTTGCCCCTCGACTTGGGGTTAAACTGACACCCTATTTAAGGTTAGGAAGGAATTTTACCCCTATGCATTGTGGGGGTTTCATCTTTCTCTGTAGTGGGGGTGCATGGCTGTCTACCTGGGATCTCTTGAGCATATTTTGATAACATTTCATAGAAGCAGGACATTGGCTGCCATGGTTCCCCTGCTTTCCCTGTGGCAGGCTAGGGTGTTTGGTTTGTGTTGCGTCAGGGTTGATGGTAGTTTTAAAAATAAGTTATAGATTTGTATGGGAGGTTTTGGATAGGGCTGACCTTGCTTCAGGCAGAGGGTTGGACTAGGTGACCTCTGGAAGTCCCTTCCAGCCTGACTTCTCTCCAACTCTATTGACTTTCTCTTCACTATTTAATATTTTGTAAACACTTCTCACATCCCCCATCATGTGTTTCTTGGTTTTTGAACCCGAAAGCTTGCTTAATAGCTATTCTCCAACCATTTGGGTTGGTCTAATAAAAGATATCAAATTCACCCAAGGAACCTTGTCTGCCTATGTCCTTAGACCAACACGGCTACAACCCAAACCCCATAACGCTTATCACTTTGGAGGGTGGGGACCAGAACTGGGCACAGCATTCAAGGTGTGGGTGCACCAGAGATTTATAAAGGGGCATCATGATACTTTCATAATGATACTCTTCACCACAGGCAACCAGGAAGGAGTCAAACAACAAAAGGATTTGCCATATTCTCTTACGTGCAATATGCGCCTCTTCCCTGAAAATCAGCCAAATTGAGAGGTACGTATGAAGCCAGGAAGCTGATTTTCTGCCTGAGATAGAAGCCCCCCACTGCACAGTGTGGCACTGGTATTGCTCTTCAAGAAAATGAGGGACTTTGGGGCCTGTTAATGAGGCATTGGGTTAACGGCCCATTGTTCTTCACTTCACAGGTGTTAATGCCCCTCGCTCCTTTTTAATGCTCCTGATGTTCCACTAATCAAGCTAGCATTTCTTAGGGGAATGTTACTGTTTGCTGGGGCTTTTGGTCTCATCTGTTTCATACTTTTTAGCTCTTTTCAAGATTAGAGGTGTGTCTTTGGAGGAGCGATATTCCAGAAAATATGTTATTATATAGGAGAAGAGTTACGTGAAGACAGAAAAACAGGATAAGTCCAGTGTCCAACCCTCCCATCTGGCTGCACCCTCCTAAGAGACCGGCCAGTGATTTTAGAGATCAGTCTTTCTCCTGGTTTGACTAACCCTGGCTGCTGAGTACTTTGACCCTCCAAATCCTGGGATCCAAAGACACCAGATGTAACCACAAAAACTGCCAGCATCTGCTCCTGCGAGGCATTGTATATCACCCAAGCTTGCTAAAAAGCCACTAGCTATAGTTAAAGTTGAGAGAGGCAGCCACAAGTTTTGTCCATGTAGAAACTTTGCCAAGGATGGTGGGAAGAAGACGTTTAGAAAGAGAGCAAGTGTGATAAAAGTCTGCCAGGCTGGGGGTGTCTATGAAGACAGGGTTGTAAAGAAAAACTCATTGTGAAAACTTGGTGATGCGAATAACTTCTAAATGGCCAGGAGCAGTAGCAATTGGTAACAATAATGAATTCATAAATAGCAAAAGACATTAGAAGTTTGGGAACAGAGGGTCATTGTCCTACTAGACTGCCGGACTCCTAGACTATCTCCATGAATGTCCCAGCGAGACCTTGAACTGTCTGATCAATAGGATGAAGGATCGAGACTCACCTGCAAGGTAACTAATGCATTTCTACCCCCTCCCCCTGCCCCAAATAAAAAAATTGGACACTTATGAAGCCAGATGATATTGTTTTTTGCCCAAGATTGAAGTCCCCCAGCTCCAGGGTGGGAATGTGGCTATCTGCTGAATAAACAAATAGCAGTAGAGCAATTATTCAGAAACTCCTGTTTCTTGGGAATTCTTTCTCAAAGCCACCCATTGGTTCCCTGATCCAAGATTATCAAGTAAAACAGCCACCCCCAGAGAGAGCCCTTAAAGTACCTCCAAATCAGCCCTGCCCCAACCTCATCAGCTTTATCACAATTCCCATGAGTCTCCAGAAGTGTTCTTCCTTGGGTGTCAGGCTGCAGCCTCAAACCCAGTCTGACCAGTAAGGCCGCTCATCCCAGCCTGCCACCCTCCAGCTGATCAGCCAGCTTAGGCAAGGCTAGCCTGAAGGCCCCAGCTGGGTACAGTCCTCTGCCCACTCCCTGTCACCAGAGTGGCTGGTTGGGGTCAACTGACCCTCTGCTTCCCCATTGATAAACTTCTCACCTGGAAGAGGAAGTGCTTGGGCAATGGGTTTTCAACTTGATCCCAGCCTTGCTGTTCCTTCTGCCTTATGCTCTGACTCTGCTCTCTACCTGATCTCTTGGCTTGCTCCTCCTAACTCCCTTCAGCATCTCGATCCCTGATTGGTGCCAGGCCTGGCCACCCAAAACCCAGTATGAAACTGGGACACTCTGGATGAGAGGTCAGTCCACCACAATGCCTTTGCTACTGGGGAGTTGATTTTTCCCCATGACAGGCAGATGATGCCTTAGGTGCCCAACCCAATAATGTCTCCTTCTGCCCATATATGGGAGTGGTGAATCATCAGGGTAGGTATAGACAGTGTAACATAACCCAGACAGTGATAGAAGTGACATAAATATATAGAGCACCACATCGGGTTTCCAATGAGATCTCATATGCCATATCAGTGAAAGTGCCTTCAAAGTTGCCTGTCTTTGGCAAGGAGGATGCCCTGGGAGGGCAGGTCATAGAGATCATAGTGAACCACCAGGTCCTCCAAGCCCTACTTGGTCAATCTAGCACCCCAATCTGTGGCTCTGGAGAAGATCCCACTCTAGGCAGCATGTTGATGGTTCTGGGGGATCTTTGGGTGGAAGCGGTGCCAAAGGAGGAATGGAGCTAGAGGGAATGAGCCAAAGATGGCTATTAGCACAATGTAGTGAAATGTTCTAAATGTTCTGAATGGATGCAAATAGCCTCTCAGAGATGGGCCGTGGAGTTCATGATGAG